AGGTGCAAATACTGAAGACACACCAGGTGTAAAAAGTAAAGACACACCAGGTGCAAAAACTAAAGACACACCTGGTGCAAAAACTAAAGACACACCAGGTACAGAAATTAAATCACGCCAGGTGTACACATCAGGTGCAAAAATTCAAGATCTTCGGCAGCCTCACACTACTATTCAATCCTCCCACAAGGTCACAAGTGGGCCAAAGCAGTTCACAGCCAACACATGCATACATGAACGTACTGCACAAACACAGTCATACACACATCTACGCACACTCCATGAATGCACCCGAGCTCGCTGCACATACCGTCCGCGAAAGTTGACGATCTTTGGCAACACCGCACCGCCGCCAAGTCTTCCCACGAGGTCGCTTTGCAGTCCACAGCAGCTGATGGCGTGCCTCGCTCTCACAGTCTTCACTGGTCCCAGTTGGCGCTGCTCAAGGCCTTGTATCTCGACCAGGACGTCGCCGTGGGCATCCTGTGCGAATGGCAATTTGGTGTGCGATCGGTCGTATGAGGCAGGGAGGGTGGAGGTGCTATGTCGGTATCGGCAACTCTTGGCTATATGGTAGGGCAAAAACTCACTAATAGATGGTAGCGCGGGCCCTGATTGAGGCAAAGATTGAAGGCGTTCGGTTGCGTTTAACGCGGGAGATTTGTATGCGCAAGTATATTAGTCGTTGCCGCGACAGTTCGGCCTGGCCCGGTGTGATGCGAGTAGAAGTCTCCTGCCAAATACTTTCAATACATGTACAAAGAAGCTATTTCTCATTAGGATGCACAATTCGATGGACAGCGGCGTGCCAATTTCACATCAAGTGTTTGTTTGATCGATAAAATCTGTTGTATTTAGGCTGCGAGTCCCTGTGGTCTAAACTGAATATTTTTAGAACGTAGGAGTGATGTCTGTTTTCTCCTCTGAGCTTATAACGGCCACTAGTTCCGCATTGCATGTGAATGCGATGCTTCTGACAAAATATAGTGGAACGGTTTTGGCGGTGATCGGGCTGCTGCCCACGGCATAGTGAAATGTATGCTTGGCGTTTGGAATGGACACTAGATAAAAAAAATTAACGGCCTCTGTATAGACAGAGTAGACGCTGCCTGTAGTTAGATTACAATATCAAGTCCATGGCTTCAAAATTTTACCCGGATATACATTCGTCCATTACTTATTGGATCAGTAGAAGAGTTGCAATTCAGCCGTATTCTACGGCAGTACAATATCACCATACGCTACCTGTCTGCAGCGTATATTGCAGCTAAAAGGAGGTTTCAACCTGAGCATACCACTTTTTTCTGCATTGATTTGACTTCGAATTGTAGACGAACGTCCACTTCTCCGTTGTTTGCGAGTGCACTTGCAATATGCCTTGTCACTTGAGCAAAGTCCACTACCCCCGTGTTTGGCGACCACAGCGCTGAGTAGACATCCACATACGGCTCTTTCGCTTTAACCTATAGATAGCATATACGTATTAGCCTACTAAGTGTCGAACTGTACATGCGGCGACTACCAATTTCTACCGGCTTCGTAACCAAGGCAGAATTCACACAGCGCTATAGTGATACTTCTGCTGAGACAACTACCCATCAAATTAATACATAAACTATCGCCCCCCGACGAATTCTCAAATAAGATATACAAATCGTACGCAAAAATATGTGGCACGAGGAGCACGAACCTGGCCAAAGTGACTGTTTGATGACACTATAATTAACCAAAGAAAACATCAATGAAAATCAAACAAAAATGATCGGACTTTAAAAGAAAGACAAATAAACATACGCAAGAAAATACACAGATGCTTAAATAGGTATCTAGCGATATATAGACACACACACACACATATATATATATATATATATATAATATACATTTAACTATACATATATACATATACACACATACATACATACATACATGCATACATACATACACATACACACAAACACGCACACACACACACACACACACACACACACACATATATATATATATATATATATATATATATATTTACATATACATACATATATATATATCTACATATACATAGATATACATCCATATATATATATATATATATATATATATATATATATATATATATATATATATATATATATATATATAT